AAACTCTAAAACCCCATTCAAACACTTTCTCTATAACCAAGTGAATTTTATCTCAAAAAATGTCTTTTAATGTTTATTTTACGACCTATCACGTCTTACAATCCTAGACATACAGCTCGTAAAGCCTTTCAACGCCCGATGAGAACACCTGTCACCACTGCTGCATAAAACCTGAGAGAACAAACCAGTAAATGGAGCCAGTGTCTCTCATGCAAAGCACTGTGGTACCTGGTTGAGGGCTTTGAGCCAGTAACAATGGCATCCATTTTATAGGATGTCACAATCAGTCAAGCCTGCAATTTCTGCCACCATGGGGGAGGAGAGAGTGAGGACCAGGGAGGAGGAATGAAGGAAAGAGGAGGCTGACAGACAAGGTCGGTGCTAACGGCACAACAGGAGCAAAGAGGTGAGGACAAAGGAGACAGAGAGAGGAGGGAGGGGGTGAGGGTGAGAGGAGGAATCTGACAAGGAGGATTTCTACAGATTTATAATGGAAAAGAAAACTCAATTATTTCCTAGATTTTGTTGCACTACCTGCCAGAGTATTAACACCTTGTTGACCAGCATCATGATTAATTATGAGCCATAAACTAAAGCTCTCTGTGGAGCATGCACACGCAGAAACAGAGACAGATGAAGCTTGACGTCTGCAGAGGAAACTCGCCAATGAAAATGGTGACTTTTGCAGGGTAATGTGAACACGCACAGCTCCTCCATCCTCTGGATTCGGTCGCTGTCAGTGTTTTCTCTTCCTGTCTTTTTCTCCCTCTCACTCTCTCTTTCTCTATCCACCTCCCTGTGACCCAGTTCTGCCGCACCGCTGCACACATCATTACGTGTCCCACTGAGATCCTCCTCTGACACATCCCAGAGTGTACACATAGAGGCACACACACACATAGATGCAGGTACCTGTTACTGGAAGGCCTGACTATAAATAAAGCAGGTCAAAGACAGTTGCAAAATATCAGTCGTGGCACGGCTTTAATGATAAGAGAGGTGAAGCAGGTGATGGGTGGGGTCTGTTTGCAGCCGGTCACATTCCTGCAGGTCAGCATGCATGTGTGCGATCGATCGGTGACCTCGAGGCAAGAGGGCAGATGTTTGTCCAGCTATGACTCTGCACTAAAGTTCAAAAGCAACTGACAAATGACACAGTGGTGCATTATCTAACCTATAGGTTACAACTGGGCAATGTTACACAACCACAGATATTGTAAAGTGACAAATTATAAGCCAGTAGACTTAGATAAGCATAATTACCTGCACACAAAGCTCCTATGTTCTAGCAGTTCACAGTTAACCCAAGTAAATCAATCCCTAATAGCTCATGTAAGGAGTTTAAATTATGCTGCAGTCGAATGATAATGTACAAAACTTAATATAACTCAACGAAATTATTGGTCCACTTACCCATTTTCACAAAAAAATCAGTTTCTAATTAGATCCAAATCCACTGCACAGTTCCTCCTCCTCTGTTTGTTATTTTAGTTTCTTTAGTTCCTCAACTTTTCTATATCTTCTCCTCCGACTTTGTCCTCGTCTGCTCTGAGGTCGTGCACCTCTCTGAGTCTAGTGTCACCTTAACAAGCCTTGTTCAGCCCCTTGCCTTCATTTTCACACTCTGACCCCTCTGCTGCCCCCTCATCTCTCCTCCCACTCTCACCATGTGCAGTGAGGCCACCGTTTGCAAAAGGCGGATGATTTTGGATGAATAAGTGGCCTCACTGGGCCAAGGTGATGCTAAAAATGGAAAAAGTTTACAACACATAACTATCAGGGTTCACTCGAGTACAAAGTGATTCTTGTCTATTTGGTGCATCGCTGCGGGTTATGTAACGACCTGAGTGTGTCAACCTGAGCTTGACACAGTGTTAACCCCAAACCACACACAGAGTATCTTCACATTACTTTCTACACAACTGTATGTTGTGCTGAAATGATTTGTTGATTAAGTGATTAGTCGGCCGACAGACGCACAATCTTCAACAATTGAAAAAAGTCATTCTTCGAGATAAAACCCAAAATATTTGCTCTTTTCAGCCTCTCAGATGTGGGGGGACTGTTGCATTTCTTTGTTTCATATTGTCATAGTGTTGTCACCATACTGGAAATTCTAACTTGAAAGATATCAATACCACGGGGAAAACCAACATTAAGGGGAATAAAGTTTAAAATTTGTATTAAAATATAAATATAACAAGGCCATAACATGACAACTATGACTTTTCTCTTCTTGGTTAGGAGCAGATGGCAGCAGAATGACTGTGGTAAACATTAACAGTAAAACCAAAATGTGCAGCTGGTACCAGTATCAATACTGTATGTAAAACACAAATTAAAACCGCTTCAGATATTCAGAATCTAAATGTATCAATAAGTCAATATTCAAGGCAACACTAAGTTATTACGAAACTTTGGGTTTTGGACAAAACAAGACATTTAAAGGTGTCACTTTGGAAAAACACAGCTCCCCTCTACCAGCTCCAAGAGATGGAGAGAATTTGGCTGCTTCGTTGTCACACTGCACATTTAGGGCAAACTTTTCCAGTCACAGCAGCAGTGTTGGAGACAATCTGAGCCTCCAAGCCTTAAACAATGGATGGACATATTCAAGGAGATCTTTAGAATGGAAAAGATGACTTTTAGTCCAAGGTCTAGAGGAGCAGTATTCCTCAGAAAATGGTAGAAATGGACTGTCTATATTTCAGAATACATGGACGCAGCTTCACCGTGAATGTTTGGACAATAAAACGACATTTAACATGTGAACTACTTACCTAGTGTGCACCCACACAGTGTTCTCTATGGTGTAAAAATACTTGACATAAAGAGTTATTCAAAAAAAAAAAAAAAAAAGATGTCACTTTGGGCTCAAAGAAAATGTATTGGACTTTTTTCACTTTTTTCTATCCTTTCTGAGACAGAGCAATGTATCAGTTAACTGTAAAAATAAGAGTTTCTCAGTTTCTAAAAGGCCAAAAGCAAAAGTAAGTCAATCATTAAAGGTAATACATGTAGCCTGCAGCAATTATCAAAGGGTCAAACAATCTGTTAATGCATAATGAACTAAAGAGCTAACAAGACAAAGGGTCATATTGTAGGACAGTGGACCCAAGACCAGGGGTCAGCAAAGCTTCATGTGGGGATCATGAGGCCTTCTCGATTTTGAGGAGTGTAAGAAAACTTTTTAAAAATATATACAGTCGGCCTATATCTCAGTATTGTATTCATTTCTGTTAAGAAAAATAAATGAAATAATTATTTTTCAAGTTTAGATTATTCTATATTATTTGAGATATCTGAAAAATCTTGCAGGATAACGGCACCATGAAGACACAAGCTACATTGATAGGGCCTTTACTCTCTGCTACCTCGTCTCAGCCTCATCCTGCATTAGAGAAGTACACAGTTAAAACAACCCAAGAGCTAATACAACAATGGGCAAGTGTCAGAGAGAAGAAAATACTGAATTTGTCAAAAAAGAAGCCGAATAAGTTTGTCTGGTGGTTTCAAAAAATATACATGACACAGAGAGGGAACCAAATAAAAAAAGGTTCCTAAAATATCAGGAAAACTCATCTCTGATGCAATATTGACAAGAAATAATCTGCTCAAAATTCCCACAGTTATTGCGCTCACTTTTTGGGTTGATTTTGTAGCTGATCAGTTGTTCTGTACTGTTATTGTTATGCATTGAATATAATGTTAAAACTTAATCAGGGGTCGTTAGTTTACTCAATGATAGAAAAAGGATCCCTTGAGGTAAAAGGTTGGGAACTACTGCTTTAAAAGCGTAAAAACCAGCTGCAACCTGGCAACTTAAAATAGTTTTTCTTAAAGGCTTTTAACTGATCTGTAAAGTATTAGTACATTATTTAATAACCAGTGATTGTAAGCTATTATACCTTTTTAAAGGGTGACTAACCAGGAAGTGGTATCTTAGATTAGAAAAACATACCAAAAAGGGTTGATTGATTGCAGATTTAGTTTGACGTTCTTGATCTCAGTAAGTTTCTGAAACCTTAAAGAAGCTTGTATCATTAATAATTCCTCGTCCTTCACATTTTGCATTCACCCACTGCAGCGTGCTTTATTGGAAAACACACAATCCAGCTCCTCTCTCCCAGAACAGTGGACTGATAACGGCTGGCGTTATATAAGTGTAAGACTTTGACGAATGAGGTGACACATAGAGATGATGTGTCCTCCACTCGGTGACACAGTTTACTCAAACTTTCTTTTTTGGTGTGTGGAGAGAGTGCATGGAGCTGAGCTGCAGAGGTGTATCTATGCACAGTCACGCATGGACCCGGGCTGACAGGCAGGGGGTGTAAATCGTTAGCCAAAGGCAAACAGACCTTTGTTCCTGAGTGAATCAACAAAACCCTGCAGCCCTGTGATCTGTGGAGAACACACCTGGAGTGATATAATGGCGCAGCTCATAATTACCAGACTTGAGTAAAGGTCGGTTTTACGCATGGAGACCAAAGTGCACTAATAAGACATGCAGCTTAAATTTAAAACAATGAATAATTACGGCAGTATTAGTAATAAAACCTTTATCCTTTAGTCTCTAACATCGAGCATTCATCTTAACCTGTGAGTGTGTTGCCTGTCTCAGGAGAAAATGAAGTCTTTTGGAGCTTGTCAGCAATTGACTAAAGCAGGAGATCAATATCTGGCGGAGCGACAGAATAAACAGCAGGAAAATAAACAATCGGACAAAAAAAACATGTTTCATAAACAGCAGGGTGCAGAGAGAAGTGTTGGTACACTGCATACAGTCCGTACATACTGAATGAAGTAAGTGCAAAGTTTAGATCTGTAGGAAGGAAACGACCAACCTGTTGGATGCACGGAGCAGCGGGCCAAGACTGAGTTGAGGAGGGACAAGCGCGTCAAATGTAAATGAGCAGGTTGGTGAGTCTTGGCGCCATCTAGTGGAGAGCAGTGCTTATGCTGCTTTTGCAAGGTTGGCCACAGTGAAGACAACAGGATGAGGAAATTATACTTTATTCATCAGCACTATGAATATTTGGGCTGAATGCAAAGTGTAGGAGGATACAAAAACAGCTCAGTATAAGCCTCCGTGAGGATCATCAGAAATATGGGTGGCATGTTGGGAGATTAAAACAGGCTGCATTGTGTGCATGTCAAATGTTGATGGCATGAGTCTCCTCAGTGTGTGTGTGTGTGTGTGTGTGTGTGTGTGTGTGTGTGCGTGTGTGTGTGCGTGCGTGCGTGCGTGTGTCAGAGTTGGCTGAAAGTGATCCTTGGCGGAGTCTCAGGCTGGAGGATGAGGGTGCATGTGGTTTTGATGTCCTCTGAAGACGACACACTGAGATGGAAGCTCAGCAGGATCTAGACAGAGCGGGAGGAGGGAGACGAAGGGAGGATAAAGGGAGGCAGAGGGGAAAGGAGGTGATGGAGGCGTGAAGACAGGGTGGGAGGGAAGGAGCAGAGCAGATGTTAAGAAGGATCACATGTTATACTGAACAGCAGTGGTGGAACATCAGTGAATCTACTCAAGTACAATTTAGGTGATTTGTACTTTACCTAATAGTAGTGTTTTCATTTTATGCTACCCAATACTTCCGCTCCACTATAATTCAGCGTGAAATATTTTTAATCTACTACACCCCTTTGGAGGGGTCGACCCTTAGCTTGGTAACCACTGGAATAAACAATCTAAAAGTATATAAAGTGGGGATGTCAATAATTAACCACTGAGAATAGTTTTGACAGGTTACCAGGGGTCTCATTTAACTTGTAAAAAATCTTTGACAATTTCTCTAACCAAGCTTCCACCTCACCATCTGCATAACCAATTTCCTATCTCCAAACTGTTCATAAGCATGGGTCAAAGTTTCTTCCATCAAGTCTGTTTTTATAGATCACAACTTTTCTGTAGGAATTGACATGCGCCTCTTTCAGGCCTTATTTTGTATGTATGCTACGCAGTGTTTATAGATGAGACCCCAGGTCTCCAGCAAATTTTTCCCAGTGGTCACTTGTAGTATGACAGCAAAAAATCCCCTGCAGCCCAGAAAGGATTCTCCTCATAGGCCACCATTTTAAAAAGACATTTGTAAAGCTGTTGACAGACACCTTAAACTGCAGACAAGGTCAAATATAGTTCAATGGTGTTCATTATGTTTTTAGTTTCTGATAATGACTTTAGTTGTTCTTTTATCTCAGACATCAGCCGATCTGATTGACAGATCAGCTGATACAATCGCGTCACAACCATCACCAAGTGACGTTTCTGAGGAAGGAGGAAGTTTCCGCCGAAACATGTCAAGGTACGTAACATCCTAACATGCCTGAGATTAAAGAACAATTAAAGTCATTATAAGGTCAAATATGAATCATTCTTTTGTGAATTCTTGAGCCATGGTGGTTTTATGTTTGCAAAACTTTACTTAAGTGATTTAAAAATTCATAACCTCATCACAATGTAAAGCCAGACCGCAAAAGTAAGTTTGGAAGCTAAAAAACTTTTTTTTGGCATACACACCAGACAAGCTACTCCATTAAAAGAATAGGTGCCACCTTGCCATCTGGTATCTTGTCATGATTAAAATCTCTGCTGGTTATGCATGTCAGTCTATAGGTTTATTTTGCTACTCTTCAGTTCACTGAGTCAGTGGAGCACCAGACTAAAAGGAAAGGCCTCTTGTATTGTATTTTTTTTTAACTTACAAAAAGTTATTCAATTAAGTTAATGGTTGTCCTGCTATCAAAAGCAAAATTAACTGAAACTTACATCCCTGATAACAAGTATTTGAAATGTACTCTACTTCAACCGGCTATACAGTGAAATGCGTCATATGCTGTAAGGTATTAGTATCAGTGCTTACTTTTACTTGTAATGAAGTATTTTAACACTGTGGCACTGGTAACGTTACTTCAGTAAAGGTTGTGAGTATTTCTTCCACCACTGCTCAGCAGGAACTGATTAAGCTTGTCTAATCTTCTTTCTGTCTTTCCTTTCTTATAACTCAACATCAGCCTTTCCAATTCTTGCATCACATCCTTTCTCTCCAACCTCCTCCTCCTCTTGTCTGCCAGTACTCACATGCATGAGTAAGAGCTGCATCTCGTTCTCAGCGATCCTCCTCCCGACACATTGCCTTGCCCCAAACCCAAATGCCAGGGAGCGAAACGCCCCTGCCCCCTCTCCTTTTCGGCCTTCCTCTCTGCTGCTGCCCCACCGGCCGGGGTCAAAGCGCAGTGGATCCTCAAACACATCTGCACTCCGTCCCAGGGGATACAGACAGGCCTGGACCATGGTCTGAAGGGAGAGTCGATGACTATCAAACACAGTGAATTTACCTGAGTGTGTTTGTGTGCAGAGTCGTGGTCTGATCACTCACCCCGGCAGGTATGTGGTAATTCTGGAGAACAATATCTTTGATCGGATACCGCTGCACCGTGGTCCCCACCGGATATAACCTGCACACACACACACAAACAGATTCCTGTTTTGTAGATGTTTTCTTCGACTTCTGACTCAACACTAAAGTCAGGGTTACTGCTAATCAATTCTCATTGTTGATGAAAACACTTGTGATGGAAACAGACTCTCAGAGATCTTTTCCAAAGGTCAGAGCACCATCTTTTTCTTGATGATATTCTATTGATCAGAGGGGAAAACTGTTTTTGTTTGTCTCCATTTAACTCCATCACCTCAGCTAATGCATGAAGTGTATAGCTTGCAGATCCTCAGATGCCCCAGATGTCCTTGGTCCAGTATGTGTCAGCTGAGGCCTGCATTACTGTGTTATCTTATGGCCCTATCTCATTAAAATCTAAATTATTTTAAAGGAGCACTGTGTAGGATTTAGCAGCATCTAGTGGTGAGAATTGCAAAATGCAACCAGTTGAAATTTCTCCCATGTGCCAAGTGTGAACTTCTGGTTAGGATTCCTTCAGTGTTCATTGTTCAGGAGGTTTTTACCAGAAGCCGAATTATCTGCAGAGGTCTGTTCTTCTCCAAAACAAACACACATTGTGATTTCAACTAGAAAAAACACAATAAAGCAGTTTCACATTAAAAATTTGTGTATTTCTGACGCTTTTTGGCTCGTCATAGAGGGGCTGCTAACTATGGTGGTCACCCTGAAAATGCGACTGGCCCTATCGAAAGCAGCGCTGGGCTCATTACTCTAAAAATTTAATTTCTTACTCATTACACTTTTCAAAAATAATAATATTACGTATTACTCCCTGCCAACAGTAATTCATCACACTACTTGTTATATTGCTTTTCTGTTACACCCCATAAAATTGGTGATTGCGTATCTCCCCAAAATTAAGATGTGTGCCTCCTCTCTTCTATAATAAATGGCATTTTGACGGGAGCTTTACTTGGTGTGCGAATCTTATATATGTTGCTTCTGTGTGAATGTCATCGTAATCGCTGTTTAGTGTAGCTAAGGTTAGACAGCTTCTTTTTTACTTGGGGTTTTCTGTTGCCTGTGACCAGTGTTTTCCCAAGACTCTGCCCAAAAGACAGAGAGTCACTCATGGAGCAACATTTCATCCACCACATATCCAACCACAAGCTTCATCATTTCTTTGTATCCTGCAGCTGTCCACAATTAAAATCCAGTTTTGGTGTTTAGCCAGTGTAGCGCTGATGAGGGCTCACCTTTGGTGGGGTGTATTTCCTGGAGCTTCATGTTGTTGTCCTCTTATGCTGTGTTCCCACCAAACGCGAATTCGCAAATTCACACGTCAAGATTACATACAAAGTCAATGCAAAGACACGATTAGACGCGAAATTGCTCCGGCGGCGCGATGGACGCGTCTACCGTGACGCGATGAACGTGATAGAGGCATCTAGCGCGGCGCGATAGACGCGAAATTTACGTCCAATGCCTCATCGCTCGAGTTGAAAATATTGAACTTTTGAGGTGAATTCGCGTGATGCTGTGCCGCGAAAGCCAATCAGCGTTGAAATTCTCCCAACGTCACTGGCGTCCAGTTGTTGACACAGCAATAAACTGCTACTCACCGGAGACAGATGGACAGACACTCCACAGCTGAAATGGAGCAGCCTGTAGTTGGTGTCCTGCTGGGAGATCCTGGCGCCAACCCTCGCCAACAGGTCCTCAAACTGGGCCCCAGTCAGCCTGAAGTACCACTGAAAGCGGCTATCATCCAGACGGAGTTCCTGGAGGAGGTGGTGAAACTCGCCGAGCTGGATGCGCTTCTGCAGGATGGGGTGAACCCAAAAACGACGGCGTTTGGCCCTCCGACGCATTTGGGACTTCCACAAAGCAGCGATGGTGGTTATCTCAGCCATGGTCGTCAGTGGCTACCCGGAGCTATATGATACTACATGTCTACTCTACAGAGACCGCAACAAAAAGGAGCAGGCTTGGGTGAAAGACGCCGAGGAGACTGGTCTACTTAGTAAGTTCTGTAAATATGTGTCTTTAATTAGTTTGCAGAATGGTTGTACTATGAACGTTAGCACTAGCTTAGCTCCAGTTGGCACAGCCGGCTTCCCCGCTACTTGCGCGAATGACGCGATAACGCGAATTAACAAAATGGTCAGGCGTCCAAACTCGGGCGTTATGGGTGGCGCATTACGAGCGATTAAATCGCGTTCATCGCGTTTGGTGGGAACACAGCATTAGTCCTCGTAGCCGAGGTTCTTCAGACTGGAGGTTTGAGGACTTGTTTTTCACAGTGGAAAGAGTTTTAGTCCGACTACTTGAAGCAACAGTGTACTTGTCATCTTTCCTCCCGACAAAATCAAAGTGATGGGAATATTTCCAGCCTCTAAGGTAAGTGTTTCCAGCTAGCCTGCTGCTTTGTGACGTGCCTGCACAACGGACGATTACTGAAATGAGTCAGCTGATGTGACTGTTGTATTTCAAGTCAGAAGTGATGTGATAACAAAAGTAACATTGTAATGAGTTGTTTAGTTTTGGAGTAACTGTAATATTATTATTGAAATTTTATTAGTAATTAGTTACACTACTCATCACTGGAAAAAGTAATATTATTACTATAACGTGTTACTAGTAATGTGTTACTGCCCAACACTGTTTGAAAGCCAGGATTTTGTTTGTCGGTTCTGGGCTACTGTAGAAACATGACGGGGCAACATGGCACACTTCATGGACGAAGACCTGCTTCCTATTGTAGATATAAAAGGCTCATTCTAAGGTAATGAGAACAAGACCATTTTTATTTTCAGGTGATTATACACTAAAGAAAACATACTTATAATATTATAATCCATTTCTGCCAATAGATCCTCCTAAATCCTACACACTGGAGCTTTAAGTATAACAGTTCACTCTTGACCTTGGAAATAGTAGTTTGACAAAACAATCCTTCAAGGTCAACTTACATGTTTTTTCAGGGGCTTTCATTCGCATCTTCGTCAGCCGATGGAGCCTGAACAGTTGTCAGATGACAGATGGCTCTGTTAATATGGAAGCTCCGTAGTGTATTATGATTCTATCCACAGCACTTCTTGTCAGGACAAGACAACGTAACAGCTACTGAGCTCACATTTCAACAGATCCATCATTAGGACAAATAACCACAGTCCATCCACTGATAAGGACTGAGAGATAGATTGAAAGCCCCGGGAAAAGTGTATAATTGGACTTTGAGTTGGAATTGTTTCATGAAACCACTATTTCCAAAGTCAAGAATGAACTTTAATGCTTTACTTTTGAGCTGATATAAATGAGAAGGTCCTAAAAGTGCCATGGAGAAAAATCATACTGAGCTCACATGTCAACAGATCTGTCTCGATGACAACTGAGCAAACTACTCCACTGATGAAGACGGCTGAAAGCTCAGTGAAAAGCTTTTAGATTATATTGTGCATGTTCCTAAATAGGTAATGTACACACATATGGTTCACCTTGAGCTAAACAAGATCCCCGCATGTGATTACTGCTTGGTCTCTAAACATATAATGAAGGTGGCATCCATTGTACACTGTCTACTTGACAGTAACTTGGAGGCAACAGGATACAGACACAAACCATAGATGATGTACACACTGTGTGCATAGGCGGCCCACAAACAGTTAAATGGATGTTATGGATGTTTATACCTACCTGAGAGTCTCCTTGATTGTGCCTTTCAGTAGTGGCGCCCCCTGCAGGGCTTTCTGAAGATCACCACCAGCCTGAGCCCATGACGCCCTCACCTGCTGCCTCACCCTCTCCTGCACCTCCGGGTTCCGGCCCAGCTCAAACAGAGCAAACTGCAGGGGCACCGCTGTCTGCAGAGAGGACAGGATGAGAGGTGACGTGGAATCAGTTAGGGTCAGGTCACACAAACACAAGCCAAGGAACACACACAGTCATGTTTTCATCACTTCAGAGGACAGTACATTGACTTACATTCATTTCCCAGACTCACCATAATGCTGTGTTCATACTACGAGTGACACAACAACAGGCTGCAAGTCATTTCTAATGGAAGCCAGTGACATGAATCTAAAAACCGACGCCCAACACATGTCACTGCGGATGGGCGTGACACTCTACAAATCACAGTTGAGCTGGTTTCAACTCTTGAAGCATCGACCAATCATATGTTTTCATTTCGAGCTGTGATACTGTGTTATTTAGCGTAGCTAGCTGACACTATGCTAGCTTTCTGTGCATTGCGGTGCACACAGGGCAATGAAATGTGACGTTAAAATGGGACTCAGACATTGAGTAAAACCACAGATATTTTTTAGCCATGCAAAAACTTTAAATGGTGTTCAGTCGGGGAGCTTTGTGGCAAGTAGCAGACCCACACAAGCCGTGTTAGTTGTAGCATGAGCACAGTATAACCATAACCATAACCACTACTTGCTTAACCCTAACCTTAGCCAGAGTCTTCAGCCTAGAATGTAATGATTTGCATTATGGGGACTTGTGTTTCATCACCAAAAGGAAGGAGGGCCTCCACAGTGTGACTGTGTCAACAACAGGGTTATGTCCCTACAAGATGAGTAATACACACAAAAACATACACACATGACTGACATTCATTTCCTGGGTTTATGCTAACTCTAACCTTGACCCAAGTCAAAATTTAATAACTTATTATATGGGGACTTGCGTTTTGTCCCCAGAAGGAAGGCCAGTCCCCACAATGTGACTGTATAAACAGATTTGTGTTCCCACAGGATGAGTAATATATGCACACACACACACAAAAACACAAACACACACACCGTGTCGACCCCTCCAGCCATCAGCTCAGTGACGTTGGCTTTGATGAGGTCCAAAGATAGCTGCCCTTTCTCCATGAGTTGACCCAGAACCCCGGTGTACTGGCCTCCAGCTGCTCCAGCCTCTGACCCTCGAGTCTGGAACAGCCGCTGGTACCCCCTCTGGATCCTCGCCTCCGCTGGAATAAGATCAGGACAGGATGTCAGAGTCAGGTAAGATTGGAGCAGAGAAGAGGGATACTGAAACTGATTGAAGAGAGTTTGAGGAACTAGTGAATGCTTGTACCGTGGGTGAAGATGTGATCCCATGCACTGGCGTGCTGGGTCCACAGGGGAGCGCCGATGCGGAGCAGCAGGCGAGGGGGCAAGTAGAGGAGAGGAGGGGTTGTTGCCAGCATTCGCTCCACTGCCCAGATGAATTTCTGGGACTCCAGGGAGGGAGATGAAGAGAAAAGGCCAATACGCTCCCCGTAGATCACATGGCAGCTGGCTAGAGGAGGGAGAGGAAAGCAGCGAGGGTGAGGATATGACATAACTGACGTGTTTCAAGATGAGCAAAAAGGCTAAAACAAACTGAGGCTAGCACAAGCTGAAACACTGTTTTGAAAAATATTTTAAACTAGTGAAGGCTTTACTGAATAATAAACTCCAGGTTGACAGTTTTTTAAGGAGATTATAAAACCTCCTGACTCATTTCTTCATGTTTTAAATTTAAGCTTCGCAGGATTACATGGCCCTATGGGTTGAGTATGTATCAAAATGAAGCCCAAAAAAAGACCTGTTTCTATGACAGCAAGAAAATATTCTGTTTTTCAAATCCAGCTCCACACAGAGAGATTTGTTTTCTGAGTGCATACGCTGCCTCAGAGGAGCTACTTCTCCTATACCTGACATCCATCAGCTATCAGACATGTTCGTATTATATTAACCTCACATCACTGACTGGAATAGAGTTTCTTGCAGCTCTATTCCTATCCTGGCTTAGCACCTGGCTTTCTGTGATGTGGTCCCATTAGAAGCAGACTAGCATGACTCAAAGTAATCAGCTCTCCCCCCCTTCGCTCTCTCTTGCTCTCTCTCTCTCTCTCTCTCTCTCTCTCACACACACACACACACATGGATGCGTACAAGTGCACAGCGTGCTGAGTCACACAAGCATTCACACTTGTGAATGTGGCATGTTGCAGATAGGCTCATGAAAGGAGCAGAGCCCGGCGAAAGAATGCTGGAGCTTTGATCGCCTTTGTTGGTGTTTCTATTTTTAAGGGCGCATGTTCTCCTCGACCTCCTACATCTGTAAAATGCTAACGACAGATCAGCCTCGGGTTAAAATGAGACTGGTTCTGGAAAGAGGTGAGAATATTTTTGAATTAAAATCAGACAGAGCAGGAGCAGTGAGATATTAGCAAGGGGAAAGTTTTCTTAAGATTTAAAAAGGTGATGTTGCAGATTGTATAATTCCTCTGACGTGAGATGGCGTCACAGCTGACGTCAGCATTTGTGACTCAACTCAGAGAGATGAATGAAAGCTGTCAAAAGAGGGAGGTGACATTAATCCATATTGTCCCCTCCTCCAGGACTTCGTTGTCAGTCATTGCTGGATGAAAAGTAGACGTGACAGTTAAGAAGTGGGATGTCCCCATTGCGCCCTTACCCTTTCACACCTTTCTATACCTGACTCACTTTTCCTGGATAGAAAAGCAGCCAGGATTCTGTGGCACTGATGTGTATGTGTTAATGAACGACTGTGTAATCACACATGACAGATCACTGGAAGATGATGATCTCTGACCTTCCAGTGCGAAGCGGAAGAGGTCAGGACTGGGATCCATGGTCAGACTGCGTTTCCCCTCCTCGCCCCTCCCCTCCCTCTCCACCTTCCCCCGCAGCATTCGACAGAAATCCATCGCAACCTCATCAAGCAGGGGGAGAAAGCGCCTCACAGCCGCACTCATCATCACCTCTTTGTTGAGCAGTAGACGGTCAGCTCGCCACTCCTCACCGTTCCTGTGGAGAGAAGATTTGCAGCGAGGCATTAAAGTCGAGCCGCTTCACTTCTGCTCAGTCATTGTGAAGAAAAGAGACTGGGTTGGAAAGAAGAAATACTTTTCTAAAAGCCTATGTGCTGTTCCGTTACTTTAATATCCATTAGGTAGAGGTTCTGTATCAGAGTCTGTGTCCCTGTCAATTTGTGTCTCCCCTTGCCTTAACCTGAACCTGAACAAAGCCCTTCTGTGATGCTCTCCCTCTACACAACTTTACTTTTATCCATCCAGTTCTATGTGCAACACTTAGCCAAAACCTAACCTAAGACCATGGACAGATTAAGAGATGATGCCCCCCACAACCCCCCAAGCAAAAATACCAGGCTGAAGGAGAAACAAAATGAGACAAAGCTAGTAGCCGCATGATTTGCAGTCTTTTTGAGTTTCTTTGTGGTCATTCTGCAGTTGTTTTGCATCTACCTATGGCTGCTTTGCATCTGTTTGTAAATATTTTGTGTCTCTCTGTGGTCTATTAGGGACAAAAAATCAGGATTATCTCTGCCTTCATTGCTTTGATTTCGACTGTTGCTCTTCTCAGTCCCTGCTGGATTTCGCCAACACATTCTCACTCCGACCTCATCACATATCGATGTTTGGTCATGGACCTTCCATGGTCAGATACAACGTGAAAGCTACCCTGGGTACGTTGGTTATTGATGTTCTGAAGTTATGCCTGATACACGCATTGTCTTCTTTTGAGATACACTTCCATTTTAACAGGAAATTTACTGTTTATATACAGTCTCTTTCAAAATAAATGCACTACATCAGAACAACATTGTGAATTGATGATTTTTTTTCCTGCAACAACTAACACATGTGGTTGGTCTTAGGCAACAAAAGTTGTGTTAGGTTTAGGAACAGTGTTTGGCTTATAAACTCACAGGACGCAAACTATAACGGCAACCAGCCGCGTATCATGCTGATGTGGAAGGACGACGTTTTTTTCAGTGTCTGACGCCGCAAGTCACTGCCCAAGCGTTGGATTTAGATGACTTCAGAGTGAGACTGGATTGATTTCGCAGCTTTTTTTAGGATTGTTGCAGCCTAAAATGCCTGATTAAACGACAGCTGCTCTAAAAAATTGCGATGCATGTTGCAATGTTTTTAAGTGTGTGTTGTTGTTTTTTAAATTAAACTGCAGGAGCAAGTAAAGAATTGCAAAACAGTAGCAATGCCGTCTCAGATTCTGAACCCTTTATTATGATATTCAGCCTTTCCCACAGAATTATAATTTACTTGTGATGGCGGGGGGGCAGCCACAGCTGATTGTCAATAGACACATTAATAGCCATTGCATGGGTTACGTTAACCGTGTGATACTAAGACTGTGTGTGTGACTCTGTCCCAGACATGGAGCTCACACTCCTGCAGCAGCAGTCATAGGATAAACAGAGAGATAGAGAGGAGGGTAAGGAAGGGCTGAGCGAATCATTACGCTGCGTGCAGCTCTACAATAGAATGAGATTTTATACGTTTTAAATAGTCAAATTTGCCAGGACAAAACTGCAAGGAGAATTCATGGCAACTGGCTGAATTTATGTTAATTGTTGGGATCGCAACATTGCAACATCCTGAAGGGACTGTCTTCTACACCCCTTTTGAGTCGACCAACATTATAGAATGTATGTTTTGAATCCTCCCAGTGGTAAAACAAAACAGCAATCCACGGCATCCCTCGCTGTGAAGAATGGGCAGAAGGTAACGCAGGAAATGGCAGAGTTTTCTGCAAACAAAAACTTATGTCATCAGAATAATTTCAAAGATGCTTCAATCACATTAATATTCTACATATAAGAGGTTTTAAAAGCTGCATCAACAACAGTAAAGCGGAATACTTCCCCAACTGATTGGATGAGCAAGAAGATGATGGCACAAGTGATTACATGCACTTCTTATACACACACACACACACACACACACACACACTTGTTTCCCTCACTTCCCAACTGCCATAAAACTCACAGAAGAAGTAGAAGGGGCAATGACAGATGTATGTGTATGAAGCAAAATATATCTCTCATTATTTTCTGAAACAAGGTGGGCAATGTGCAGTTTTTGTCCAGTGCCAATATTTTTGTCGTGACGTTATATTCAGAAAGTTTACAAGGCAAGTAGTATTTCTTTGTGCTTTATTTTAAGTGGAAAAATGGAGTCAATACATTAAAAGAGCTTTGGATGACGTTGGATTTAATTTGGTTTTTGTAGTGAAATGAGGAGTTGTGTAGAAAACTCGTCATTCTTTCTTCATCCATTGCTGCACTTTCAAAGTAAGCGACTGGTATAATTTTTTAGAAAGGGTGTCCAACAAAAGTCCAGCTCAAAGCATTGCACTGCATCACATAATAACATCAAACTGGCACTCGCTCGTGTCTTATTTAGTTAGGACAGTGTTAGAGCAAATATTACAAAAACAAATAAAGTTATTTCTTTCCTGAACATTTCAGGGATAGACTGCATATGTGAAACGGGCTTTACATGCGTACAATCATTCTCTAGAGACTTGTTCTAACCCTTAACCATAACCACCACAGGCCTAACACAACTATAAACCCGACCTTAACCTTAACCCACCTAAAATTTATTCAACAATGTGGGGACTTGTATTTTGTCTCTAGAAGGAAGGCGAGTCCCCACAGTGTGGCATCTTAAGCACATTTTCATTACATCACCACAACGTGAGTAACACACATTTGTACAGACAAGTGTGTGTGTGGGACTTACTTGAGGAACACTCCCTTGCTGTGCTGCCGTGTCTCTCGGTGTGTTGCCCAGGGCTGCAGGGTCATCCGTCTGGGGTGCAGGCCCTCTGAGCGAAACAGCTCAGCGATGTCAGACGGCAACATGATGTTCACACTGCTGTGGGTGCCCAAGTGCTCCCTTCACACACACACAGAAAGACTATGGTGTAAACTCACATGCATTACTGCAACATAAACATATTGATGATCAAAACACTCTCCTTATCTAAGTGTCAGTGGCACACGTAAGGTAAGATAATGCTACCTGTAGATGGGGCCGAGGGCATTAAAGGTCCTCTCCATGTGCTTGTGGAGCTGCCGGAAGCGATCTTCTCTCCAGAACTTCACCAAGTTGACCCAGCCGCTCCTCCCTGTGTGAGGTATCTCCTCAAAGCGCCGCACCCCTCCATCTATACCCTTCTTTCCAACACCTGTACTCTCAGCTCCTTTTCTCCCCTCCAGCTTTCCATGTGCCACCGTCCCTGCTGCCGTCACACAAAGACCTCTTTGTGGTGCAACACCACCAAGCATATTCCTGGAGCCACAGGGGCCCCGTGCTCTGACACCCACAGTCACATGGACGTTCATGCTCCTCATGGTCCAAACGAGATGTGTCCGTCTGTCTCATCCAGAGTTGTGACACCGCTCCTTGTTGTTTCTGCAGGACCAATTATTTCCCTCCGTCATCCTCAACCACAAATCCTTGGATGTGTTCTACCGCTCTGACGAACTGATAGCAGACGATGATTTATGGATGTGAAGATCAGAGTTCAAGAGAATCACAACAGAGCCCAAATGTCAGGCTGATCTAGTACACACACACATGCATACTCACACACAGAGTCGTGTTTCCATCACTTCAGAGGACATTACGTAGACTTACGTTCATTTCCTGGAGACAAACCCTTACCCTAAACTTTCCCCTAAATTTTAATGATTTACATTGTGGTCACTTGCATTTTGTCCTCATAAGGAAGGCACGTCCCCATAATGTAAATGTGTTAACATGTCCCCACAACATGAGTAATACATGTACACATACACACACACACACACACACACACACACACACACACACCACACCACATAAAAGCCAAATGAGTGAGTCCAGCTCATCAAAGATGTCTTTATTACAAGGTTTTTGTCACAGCTAATGAAGCAAAAATAAAAATGCCTACATATCAATTTTCTTTGAAGTCCAGAAGGTTTTGTGTTGACTTCTGGGTCTCTGCTTCCTGTTGTATAAAATCCTTTGATTAGGCAGCGTGACACTATTTACACACCAGTATTAGCTCATAAAAACTACAAAAGAATCTTAGGATGTGCTTTTAAACCCAATCTGACACTGGAGCACTGCTATTCAAAGAAATAGTGTTGTATTTCTACATGAATTGACAAAGGTAAAATTAATCACACATTCACTCCACTCGGTGCTTTGCTGCTACATTATAACTGCACTCCAGATTTACAAACAGTCCAGTTTGTGCCATAGCACTCTGGCACTTGGAGTGAGTATTTCCGGATGCACCCTAAAATAGTGCTCCAGGAATAAGTCTTAGCAATTACCACCGCTGGTTCCCTTGTCTAAAAGTCAGTGGGCTTTTTGAATGGGTTTTTGGTTAGATGCCTGAAATAAGGTCTGTGGTTCACACAAGCTGAAGAGACTCTCACATTTTCTTCTACGACATAAAAAGAAGATTTTATGTATCTTAAAAAAGACAGTTGCTAACAAGTAGCTAAATGAGACCACAGAGTGTTATCATGACAAATGCTACTCTACAGCAACGTGCAACTGTGTTGTAGTTTGTTTATAGCCTAGCATTAGCTTTACTTTTGATGATTGCATTTAGGCTTTAAAAAAGTCATAAAAGTGGTGTTCATTTGTGAGGAGATTATCTTGCTGAACAAAATGTGTAAGTATCATTTTTTCACTTTTGTTTCCCACATATCTGATTCTCTGAAATAATCCAAAATCCAATGGAATAATCCCAATGGCTTTTTGATGGGAGAACCAGGACGACGCTAACTTTCATGTCGACCTACAGAAAAACATTATCCCTGGAGCATTCTGTAGCTTAAAACATGGCTCATTACAGTACAGTTTATATACAGTACATGTGATACAGATCAAAGATTATAAACAAAGTAAAACAGTTTTCATGGTTACATATAAAATGATTATATTAAATGTGATTATTTGTGTGAATGTGTGATGAAATGTGAACGTGTTGCCCTGAGGTCCCTTACTTGTGTATAGATCACTCATGTGGATCTATATAATTTAGAGCGACAGAAAGAAGAAACTAGCTAAAGTAGTGCCTACATTAAATAATACATAATATAAATAAGTATTTATTATAATCACAAAATGAGGCTCTAAATGGGATGAAACCATTTTACAAAAAATGTGACAGCCTCATTGTGGATGTCATTAACAAAAGTGTACATGTTTTAACTGATATAGTTTCCTAATAAAACACGGTATTGAGTCATTATTCCATTAATATATATCGTTATTGTGTCATCATTTGAAATAAAACACCAATTCACTGACTGGAGTTTCACGTAGATCACGTCTCTCAACCCACTTTAATAAATATCTAGTTCAATTTAAGTGAGATAAAAAATTATCTGGCATATTATTATTATTGCTACGTAAAAGACAAAAAAAGACGTACAAAAGCAAAGTCTGAATGACATGTTTGTGTAATAGAGATGATTGGAGTGAGTTTGTATATTGATGTACAATGATGAAGTTTATGTATGAGCAGCAATCATGTACGAGGGTCACCTGCTGTTTCCCTGTACTACAATAATCAGAAGGCAGTGTAAGATCAGCTCCGTGATCACATTACTGATCACATGACTTTACAAGTTGCTGGTGTAGGAAGAGCGGACGTCTTGCTGTGTTTCCTCCCTGGGAGCGTCGTTGTGCCGAAGCTGAGGCCTTGGAAGGCGCTCAGCAGGTTGAAGCCACCGTCCTTGGTTTTGGTTTCAGGATGAATGATCTTCGACAGCTCGTGGGGGAGCGACACTCTCCCTCCTACAGACCTCAGGTGGTTTGTGTCCTTGGGACTCTAATCAGAAGATATAAACAGAAGAAGAAGAGGGTAAACATGTGACAAAAATAACTTCATGTTGATGACCGAAGGTAACTCTGTATTTGTCTACATTACTTATGGCCCAGTCTCACATAGCCAGACCTATCTCTCCGCAGAGCTGTGTCAGAGCCAGAGAAAGGTCTGGAAGCACTCATTATTCTACTAGGAATCAAAATCATCTTGGGCAGCAGTAAGCTCAGGACACAGTGATGGTGCTCTTGCAAAATAATGTGGGGGAAACTTGTTTTGGTGGAACATTTGTAGGTGGGGAGGCGAGCGCTGTCACTAAAATAGCTCTGGAAAAAGAAAACACCACAAAAGCCTGTAACAAGACGTGTCAACTGTGTGATTCAACTTTTACTGATAAAAAAAGACAAACATAATATGATATTTGGTATCCTAGAGATGAAGCCTGACTATACTTTAGCTCTGGAGGAGCCCAATGGACCCGTTGAAACCACACACGATTTGCTGGCTGTATGTGGCTCTTGCAAAACAATATGAAGTTATCACAAAAGCTCGTATGAAGTGAAATAGATCTGTAAATCGGTGCAATCCATGTCACTCCTACATGCCGCTGACAAGGTAAAATGGTGATGCAAATCAGCTCCAGCTGAGTCCTGTGAGACGGAGTCAGGGATTGTCCAAGGTGCATTCACAAGTTGTTTTATTAAGTGTAGATCTTAACGACAAAGAAGAAAGCAGACATGTCTTGTTGCATGATCCACATCTTTATCAAAACTTGTCCATATAGTTCAAGGAGGGAAGGAATGCTGGCCTATATTTGGAAAATTTCTAAAGGCTGGCCTGCATACCTCCATAAAAGCTGCACAGTCCCCTACACTGATTTTAACAATAGATTTTTTGGTGCTTGCTCCAGGAGTCCCTGCTTATTATGTAGGCCTGCACATCTGATATATAGAAGTTTGCTTTTTCTGACCTTTGAGTTACAGTGAGTGAAGTTTATAATATTGCGGCAACATGCTACGATGGCGACAGCAAGATTAGCATGCATGCCTGTATCGTAATTAAACTGAACTGAGGATGACTCTCCCTCATGCATAAAATATACATCAATAATAGCCTAATTGTACGCATCATCCATGATGATGAAGTTACAGAAATATTGAAATGTGTGGCAAAAGTAGCTTGTTGTTAATATTTTTCCCCACAAAGTTTCACAAATCATGCTTTCAGGGGAACTCATGTCTTAATAAGAGAAGCAAAGCTCCCCCTGTACATAATGTAAAAAACAAACAAACAAAAACAGGTAAAAGTAACTTTTTCAGGTTTGGATGTTTGAGGGGAAATTCAAAATAGATGGAAATCAGTGTATTTGGAAATGGACATGAGCATATTGATGCTGGTCCGAGAAATACTGGAAAAAATATTTGTGCAGAGCTGGTTTGTAAATGGTTAAATCTCAACAACATGTTTTATCTGCCCCCAAAACGTCTCCCTCAGCATAAACCCTACAGCTCAAGTTTCCCCGAAATCCCTTCATGAGATGTCCCACTGACTAAAACACAAACTAGAAACATACATTATTTTTCTCTCATTCTCTAACAAAGATAAACACGGACCTCAGAAAGCTGATATTTTTTCCTGAAGTGAGCTCTCATAGCCGCCCTCTCCGCATTCTTCTGAGCGTTCATCGCCTCCCGCAGCTTTCTGTAAACACAGCAGACAAGAAAACAAATACACCTGACTTAAGGCAGACAGGATTTAATTAAAGCAACATCCCTGGCACTGTAGTGACTCAGGTTTGTGACTCAGAATTAACTCGATTCATTTTAGCTGCTCTCTCTAATGAAAGCAAGTGGAAGCAGCTGCAGAAGGCAACATTATGAAAATGTCACATTTGGAAACAATGTGAATTAAAAGCACATGGCTGGATTCATACAGACGGTGAGTTTCACCTGGGAATTATGAAAAGCTACTTTACTCAGTCTGTCTCATTATTATATTCTGCTTATTTTCGATGCTTCCTTATTATATGGCTTTGTGTTTTAATACTGTTTGCTTATTATACCGCTCTTTGTTTTTGTACCGTTCACTTATTTTATGTACTTAAATATATATATATATATATATACAGTGTTGTGTGTAACAAAGTAACGCGTTACAGCAATGTAACTACTTTTACTGGGTAAAAAGTAGTGTAACGCGTTACTACTGAAAATATGGTAACGGAACGTAGTTACTTTGTCTGTTGGGCACAACGTTACTTTTCCCGGGGACAGATTTGACGGTGACACTGCCTGTCTGCCTCAGCTGCGCACTAGGCAGGAACTGTGACAGTTGCCATGTCAACAGTACAGACAGGAGCGCCAAAATCAAGAATCGTATGAGGAATATGGAAGATACACACGCCTCCTCGGATTATTTTAACGGTTTGTCAACCGAAGACAGGTTAGCTTATTGTAATAAGCTAACAATTAGCAACGGAGTGAGGTTTCCTGACCTGTACTTAATGTCGGGTCAGTGGGTCACCGACCCAACGAAATGGCCTAAGCTACAGTGGCCGGACATTTTTTTATATCTTGTGGAGAAACCCAGCGTTTATACGCATGAAAAACTCAAGGCATATAAATCCCTTGATGTGTATAATTTTGTACTTTGCGGTCATGTCCAAGATATTGAATACCGGGATTTATCTGATGGTTTTTGTGCTCTACGGACCGAAGTACTGCCGAGCCAGCGACAAGGACACAAAACAGTAACGTTAACTAATGTACAAGACCTGGGCGATTCTGAACAAGTCGACCAACTATATACTGACAGCGAACTGCACTTGTATGGCTGGGTAAGTGTTGTTTAATGTAACGTTAACCTCGCTAGTCAGACCTCAGACATGGGCAACATACGACCCCGGAACCTCAAAGGAAATCAAAACGACCCCCAAAACATCAATAAAATGCAGCATTGTGTTAACAGAAAACAGAACAATCATAACCTGCCTACCTTCCTGGCGCTGTGTGAACGGCAGCCTGTTGCAGCAGCTCCTATTTTGTGTATTTTAAATTGCTGCTGTGACATTGAAATTTCCCCCCGAGGGGTTAATAAAGTACCTACCATACCATACCAGAAGAGAAAATGAATTAATTTATTCGTGCAGGTCTGTAGCTTACTGCAAAGTATGAGTCTGTTACACAAACACAGTCTCACAGTTACACACGTAATAACAGAACAGAAAATGATTTATTCATGAATATGACACTATTTGTTCAAAGATAGTGTCTGTGAATATTAATATTTTCCTCATTCAGTGATGCAGCAGGTCTGGCAAATAGGCTATTAGTAGTAGTGATCTGTCATGTAACAAATTCATGTAGCCTAGTTAACACAAATTAACTCTCACTCTTTAATCTTTATTTTATCACCAAAGTGGTAAATACCAGTGGGAAACTCGGATTTTTTCACATTTAGAAAATGAGATGGGGTACTACCCAAAGTCAAGCACCATAAAAGTAACGTAAAAGTAACGAGTAACGTAAAAAGTTACTTTTCACAGAGGGTAACTAAGTAAAGTAAGGGATTACTTTTTTTAAGAAGTAACGAGTAACGAGCAAACACTACTTTTTAAAAGTAACTTCCCCAACACTGTATGTATATATATCTATATATATATATATATATGCATGTATATATATTGCTGTGTAAGACGGGTGACTAAAATCCAATGTCAGGACAACATCTAATGCCAGTGTCAATTTGACATAGAATAATGACGGCAGATGGTGTTAATATTTTGCTGGTTTTAAGTTGTGTTGTAGTAAGTAACCAAAATCTAAAGTCTTACAAATGTCTAATGCCAACATGATCCTGATGTAGGATAATGATGTTTAGTCGTAAGGTATGGAGAAAAAAACAAGGTCTTCAAAACGTCATAAAGTTAATGTCCACACAATATGAAATTTAGATGTCATTAGAGATTTAAATCATCACCGACCCGATTTTCATTCCAACCAAAATTGGTGTTGTTTCTTTAACTTAAAGTTCCAGTGTGTAGGATTTAGTGCCATCTAGTGGTGAGGTTGCACTACATTGTGCTGTACTGGCCCTATCCAGAGCCAGCGTTCGGTTTGTCCATTCTGGGCTACTGTAGAACAACTTGGTGGACTCCGTGGAAGAGGACCCGCTCTGTATGAAGATATAACGGCCCATTCTAAGGTAACAAAAACACCATGATTCTTATATTCATGTGATCATAAACTAATGAAAACATGAATATTATATACAATTTCTGCCAATTGATGCCTCTAAATCCTACACTGGACTTTTCTTTAAGGGATTTTGTGTTTCAGTGTATGTCCACTTACCTCTCCTTCTCCAGGTCTGCCTGGTACGAGAAGATGATTGGCGGGTCTTTGGGGTGTGATGTTCGGGGAGGGGTCTGAGGGGTCCTCCCCGACCTGTTGCATCCCCCTCTTCCTGCCCCGCCTCTGCTCCTCCTCCTTCTGATCCTGCGTCTGGGATACAACTTCCTCTCCTTCACCCTCGACACACACTTGGTCAGCTTCCTGATGGGCGTCCTCAGCGACTTTTTAACTCTTGCCACAGTGTCCATGATGCACTGCAGCTCTCAGGACAGGAAGGAACGACCACACCACTATTTCTTCGACAGACGGTGGGTGACTATGTAAAGATTTTCTCCTTCACTCATGTTGTGCTGGTCTGACAGAACGAACTCAGGACACACGCACGCTCACGTCCTGTGGCAGCAATAACTCTTGGTGAGACCTGACAAGGACAAGGACATCAGTCAGACAAGGCTCAGACTCAGACACCTGCTTACGAATGTTGCATACACAGATTAATGTTTGTCATGTAGACAGAGAAAGATGGAAACCAGCAACCTGATTGCCAGAATAAATGTTGGAATTGTACGTTTCTGCAAACCACGGATACATTGTATTTGTGCAGTATTACGTAGCGTATTGAAACTTTACATTTCTTTGTGATACAACAATGCTGTAGTTAATATGTGGATATATGTTAAGGCATAAAAAACTTATGATTAATAAAAGATCATGTTTGGCATAAAATACACAGTTTTGGTGGCATAACCACCAATGTCTCGCTACAGAACACCCGCTGTTGTTGTTTGTTGGTCTCTAACAGTGGTCTGCAGTTTAACAGCCGTCTCATCAAGTTGTCACACCATCCACCATCTCTTCAGAACTACGTTACTTTATAAACGTTGATATGATTTGTATTAAACCCACATTTGTAACATATCTGTGGTTTGCAGAAACGCACAATGCCAACATTTTCTTCTGCCGACTGAGTTGGAAACTACGCAAGAACAAAAAGTGACAAACATCAGACTCAAACAGACAACATACAAGTTCTTCTTCAGGCCATTTCCCACTATTTATCCACACACAATATTAACATGGTTTATCATGTTTGCCCAGTCCACAGTTTCCTACCCATGCAGGTGGTCACAGTTGGCCAAGGGCTCACAGCATAAAATCCTGATAAAGCTCCAGCCAGATGGCCTCCGCCGCGACCAGACAATCCCACTGAGCTTCAGAACAAATCAGAGACGACAAGAAGAAACAACAGAAGTCTCTCCACAAAATGTTGCTCCTGCTCCTTGACCCTCGCAGGAGTAAATTACTGTTTCCTGGTGCAGGTTCTGCTTCTTCTGCCGCACTCCTCCTGACTCGCTCCACTCTTCAACTCCCCCGAACTCTCCTATACAGATTACCACTTAAAGGACTTAATGAGGGGAATCTCGTTAGCCGTGGCAGGTAATGCACCCGATGACTCACGTGTTTGTGATGGAAGATTTAGAGGCACGAGCTGATGTCATGTTGAGCATGCTTTCACAGGCCTGACATCAGTGTCATTCCTGTCTCATTTGTTCTCTTGCAATGCTGCATTATCTGAATTTTGAGTTTTTGTTAAGGAGCAGTAGAGCACTAACTGTAGTGGGTAGTGCTCTTCAAACTCAGCCAAGTGGGCCACCAGGGAGTCATTAAAGATTCTTCTCAAGATAAAACACATTTTCAGTTTCTTATGAGAACATAATCAGTATTTGGCTGTGTGGATATTCAGAGATGAAGAGATGAGAGGAGCTTTGGGGAGAGGAAATGAAACAAAGGCACACCTGGATGGAGAGAGTCTGGCCGGAGACGGCAGCACCTGAGTCACAGAGAGATAAGACAAGATTATTGACAGCTGGACCACTTCCTCCATCAAACAAACAAAAAGTGAATGCTGACTTCATTCATTTTAATCCCCCTTTCTCCATCATTATTAAACATTCCCCCCTTTAAAAAAAACTTTATTCATGCAATTGTTTGTACTTATCCATTGGTTTTCTTTTTGGTTTACATTGGTTGTTAATGAACAAATGCAGTTTGCAGACATATGACTGTTATCACAGGGAGAAAGAGTGAATGCTGCAGCATCAAGCAGCCTGGAATGAAAAGTTGGTTTTGTTTGCAATTTTTATTTCTAAATGGGTGCTACAACTAAATTAAACTGCTAGGATCTGATTCTCTATGCAGCTAGAGTTGAGTGCGTGACTGCTTATGCTGCTGGAGCACCAACGTACACTGTCATGTCTTTCCCCAAGATAGGGAAATCGGGGTTCCAGAAAGAAAGACAGGAAATGGAAAGAAAGCAAACAGACTTTGTTAAACAAAACCAAAATGAATTAATAAATACATAAAAGTTGTGAGAAATAGACATGAATCAGGAGAGGAAGGGCGGGGGGCTACACAGACTGCTTATACATAGGGCCCAGAATTTGGTGCTGTGCCCCTGATGGACATTTATAACTTCTCAGACATATTTTATGTTATTATCCATTTTCATCTGCTTACCCAGAGTCACAGGGGGCAAAGCACCCCAAACGTCCCTCTCCCCAGCAACACTTTCCAGCTCCTCCAGATAGACCCCAAGGCATTCCCAGGCCAGACAAGATATGTAATCCCTCCAGTGTTTTCTGGGTCTGCCCCGGGGCCTCTTTCCAGTTGGATGTGTCTGAAACACCTCTAACCCGAGGCGCACAGGAGGCATCCTGATCAGATGCCTGAACCACCTCAACTGACCCCTTATGACACGAAGGAGCAGCAGCTCTACTCCGAGCTCCCTCACCCTATCTCTAAGGCTGAGCCCAGCCACCCCACAGAGGAAACTCATTTCGGCCGCTTGTATCAGCGATCCTCTTCTTTCGGTCACTACCCAGAGCTCATGGCCATAGGTGAGGGTTGGGACGTAGATGGACCAGTGAATCAACAGTTTCACCTTCCAGCTCAGCTCCCTCTTCACCACAATGGTTCAGCACAGCGCCCGCATCACTGCAGATGCCGTGCCAAACTGCTGATCCATCTCACGCTCCATTCTACCATCACTTGTGAACAAGACCCCAATCTTGAGGCAGTAACTCTCCCTCAACCCAGAGGGGCCAATCCACCGGTTTCTGTCAGAGACTCCTGTCAAGCTGCAGACCACTGTTTGAGACCAACAAACAACAAAACTGGTTGTTATTTACGGAGACATTAGTGCACTTCCAGAGGCAAAAAACATGGCCAAAACATGATCTTTTACTAAACATAACCACGTTTTTGTGCCTAAACCTAACCACATGTTAACCACAGTCTGTCTGTGTCATGATATCATACAAATATAACATATCTGCAAAAACACAATGCCACATTTATTCTGGCAACAAGGCTGAAATATTTCTTGGGGATCTCAAGAGCTTGCACTCGACAATAGTCGAAGTCGATAGGATGAAGAGTTTTGGAGAAAATCAAAGGTCAGAAACACAGACAGTCAGACAGAGACTCTTTGCATTGTGTTGCCACTCTGGTTAGGTGTTTACTGCTGATGAATGCTCAATGGGGACTCAAAGTAAAGTGTCACCCATGTCTATTCTCCTGACTTCATTTGGGAACATTTTTTTTTTATATTTGAATGTCTTTGACTCCCTCTATGGCCTGCTCTGATGCCCTGTTTGGCACACACACACACGCCCTCTGAGCACTTGAAATCCCTCTGTCCCTTGTTTCCCCTCCTATTCTTACCCCCCTCTGCTGCCCGGACCCCTTCAGTGTCTGACAGGTGAGTACGCTTTAATGCTTTAACAAGATCACCAAGAAAAGCCACGCCTCTTCCAGCTCATGTTCAGCAACAGATCTGGGATCAGTTCCCTCATCCATCCACTGGTCCTGTGTCAGCAGTATTTCTCCACAGGTGGGACAAACTGAGGTGGAGCACGTTAAGAAAGCCTACGTCTGAATTATGACAATATTCTCCAAGTTATGACATCTTGCAAAGATCATTCTGACAAATCAGTCAAACTGATTTTTGATGAGACGTGCACACTTTGTCAAATCCACTGTATCGTGTGTGTGAACCAGAGCTTCCATGCAAGCCCACCAAAAAGAGCCACTTAAGGGATTCTCTTGTGCATCAGTGTCCAACATGTGACAGCTCAGTCACTGACACCAGCATATTAACACACACACACACACACACACACACGCACACACACATGCACGCACACACACAAGTGCACATGCTCATGCATGACCTCACGAGACGCTTCTGCACAAACAAAGGTTATGCTAAATATTAATGGCATACTTAGAATTCCAAGTATACATCTCATCATAACACATTAGCATAATGCCCCAAATACATAAAAACATGAGAAATCAACGCTTTAAATAACACCGATACAGCCATCAGGGGATTTAATCTTTTCTAGATATTTATCTGAATGGATCTCTGGTCACACTATCTGGGGGAATTTAAAGGGACTCTTCAAATCTAGAGACACCTGGAACCTGCAGCCTGCACCACCAGACAGACGCAGCAAGAGGGACAAAATTTTTCCATCTAAGACATCACAGTCCTGTCTTTTCTGTAATCCCTGGTCATATTATTTTTTATTGCAGACAAATACCAAAGCTGGACACGGCATGCCGTTCAGCCATGCTGCCAATTTGCCTCATTGGCCAAATGAAGTCCTGCAGCAAAGAAATCCCCTGTGGTGCTGGGTGAGCAAGTTTTATTCAAATGACTATCTTGGAGTTCTGTAACCAGTTCTTATAACACAACCATGTGTCATTTGCACATTTCATTCCACACGTTATAATTCTAATTTACAGATAACGAATGAGAGTAAATTAAAAAAATAATTATGATTATTTCTAGGTCTGTTGCAGTGAATAGTACGATGATTATTAAGAAAGTTTTGGCACATACACGAGCTCCACGGACCTCTTGGTCCAAGACTGGTACACATGCTGGCAGTGTGCACCGCAGGAGGGCATCTCAGCCTCTTACACCACCTGATTAAGCTCTTTCAGTAATGGCCTCAGGCTCCTGGTCGCCTGAACTTGGTGTGCCTTTAGTTCTGCGGTTGCTTCGACCTGTGCGAAACAGCCTGCAGGTCTAACTGCTGTGATGATTTTAAATAAATTGGACAAAAAACAGAGTTTCATCCAGGGAACTAATGAATTACCTGTTTAAATTCACCTGACTCGCAGATGTTGATGTACTTCAGTAGTCTGTTTTTCCTGTCCTAAGATTTAAACACAGTAAAATTAAGTAAACAAGTATGGTGACAAGTATAATCAGAAATAGCTGTAGACTTAATATAAAATGTTAAATCTTTGTTTAAAAAGAAAAATAAGGTTCTGCATTGAGACTAAAACAAGTAAATGGGACCTAATCGATGCACAAACACACACAGTGATATAGATTTACTTCCATCAAGTCTCCATTCACACATAAGAATATCTCTTTTAAACTCAGCACCACTGATGCATTCATTAACAGCCTATAACTACTTTAAGCATCACAAAGGAAGAAGATCATCTGCACACACTCACTAACACACACATACACGTACGCACAACCTCCCATACAAACACACACACACATCAGAAATAAGGTCTCATTCAGTCAAACACACATACGCTGACAATACGTCTCTCTCGGCTCTGCCAAGGCTGAAGAGGAGAACTGGCAGGCGCACACACTCGCTCAGCCTTGTGACCGTGCTCTCTGCTGAGCTGCACTCCATCAATATGCCAGAGGACGCTCTGCGAGTAAACAGAGGTTAAGTGAAGAAGTGTGTGTGTGTCTGTGTGTGTGTGACATGCAAAACACGAGAACAGAGCTGAGGGGACGACTTCAGAAGTCATTCCATACAAAATTTATTACAAAAACACACACCTTTTTTTTTTTTTATTAAGTGACTGAGAGAATTAAACTAAAAGTACAGTTTTTAAAGGATCATTAGTTTTTGTATCTATTTGTCCTCTAAATTTTAGAGATACAGTTTTATTTTTTAACATTTTTAAGCGGACGTACATGTGATCAGTTCCTAAAAGACAATACCCAGTGGTTTTGCAGGTTTTAGCCCATTTACTTCCATTCATGTATATTTATATGACCAGCTAAGTATTTTTTTTACATTGTGGCTGCTGTGTTTTATTATTAAATGTTGCTAATTAATTAATATTTCGCTCATTGTGATGAACACATAGTGAATTATCACGTGACTCCCCTTGGCCCTCGAGAGATTTTGGTCTTTTTCGAGATTTTGACTTTCTGGCCCAAAACGTAACTTTTAACCTCAATGTTTCACTCTCACCACTCTCATCAGCATCACTTTCAGCCGACTGTACCCTACCCGTAGAGCACCAAACGGCAGACAACGGTGAGCATACAGTAATGGTGCATTTAGCATCTAATTGATAAGATAGGCCTTGTTCAGAGTGGCAGCCAAAATCAGGTTTTTGGCAAATCCAGATTGATTGTAGAAAGTCTGGACAGAAAAAACAGAACAAAATTTTTGCAGATGGGATCCAAAACTTATTGAGAGGTGCTTTGAAATTTAATTTCAACCAGATTTCTACAGCTGCATCCCGATACAGATCTGTCCAGTCCCAGTGTCTTTAGCATCACTCACAACGTGACTGCGTAGCTGACGTAGTGACTGACGCTGACAAATGGTCCCATCTGGAGCCAGTGTTTGATTTGTCCATTCTGGGCTACTATAGAAACAACATGGAGGACTCTGTGGAAGAGGACCTGCTCTGTACGTAGATATAAACAACTTATTCTAAGGCAACGAAAACACAGCAATTATTTTTTTCAAGTGATTACACACTTAAGAAAACACAGTTACAAATATAATATTCTATTTCTGCCAGCAGATTCCCCTAAATCCTAGACACTGGACCTTTAAAGATCTGATTTGAGAAACAAATCTGATTTGCCTGCAGTCTGAACGTAGCCTTATTTCTCTCAGGAGCTGGTGCGGACCAAGAGTCCAAACCTACAGAGCCAAAAGGACTTTATGTTCATGAGGTGGCCAGAAACACGACTCCAAGTGAACGATAATTTTGCTCTGTATCTGCTGGGTGTTTAAATAGTCACCTGTTAACAAATCCACTATACCAGCTTAAAGATAATATCCACCTGAGACCCGAGCTTTCTTTAGCATGCATTTTTAATTTCTCAAGCTATTTGCTAAATTCTCAAAATTGATTATTTGCTGCAGAATGACTGGATAGAGACGGCTGCCATCTTGTTTTTACATGGATTAGTGTATTGCCCTCTTACTACCACTAGATGGCACAAAAAAGTGTTCACGAACGAGTCTAAGTTGGAGCCCAACCCAAATTGTGACGTCCCCATACGAGGAGTCTCAGAAGGACACATCCGATTTGTGCTCACAGTTTGTTTCCAGCACCAAAAAAATCAGTTCATGTCAATCATGTTTATAAAAATTTCCTGTACACTGTAAATAAAACTGCCTTGACTTGCTTTACTCTATTTATATTGTTTTCTTTCCCACATACAACTAACTCGGCTGACTGAGGGTGTGATCAGTCATCTCATTATGTTCTTCCTTTGCTTCCTTCATGTCTGATTGACATGACTCATTTCAACACCATTCCACTGCGCTCATTAGGAACCTCACTCCACATCACATCCATTTAAATCTGCAACTATTATTCTTCACTTTTCTCCACCACCCGGGTGGAGACTCCTCCAACTCACAGCATGACTACCCCATAAAACCGCTCTACTTCCCAAAGACTCCTCACATACAGTATATCTTTTCCTATTGTGCACACTATATCAAATAAATGTAGAACTTTTAAAGCCCTTTTAGTCTCTCCTGTTTGAAATATACATGATTTGTAGCAGAAACTAATACTTGCAAACACACTGGTATGTTCCTCACAAGGTCAAGTGTCTATTCAAGGGTCATCTGCTCATGTCACAGCTGTTCCTCCAGACTTTACTCTGTCCTGAGTGATGAAGAGGCAGGAAGAAGGGGTGACGCAGAACAGAGGAAAGAGAGATCCGTGTCGAAGGCTCGTACTCCAGCATCCTCTCCAGGAGGTAAAAAAAATGGTGGTGTTCTGTCCCATGTGATAACAAGTACTTCTAAAATTAAAAACAGAGGAGTGTCGTGTCATTTAAGGGAGTTCAAGTGTGTTGAAAGATTGCACCTGCTTCAGCTCACCCTCAGTGGTTTGCACTTGGCTTTCACATAACGTCCGGCCTTGGAGCACTCATTCCAGTCCAGACACCCACGGTGGAAATACTTCTGCTTTCTGCAAAGAAAAAAATATATATACTGTATATGTTTTGTCAAATAAATTGTTTGCATGCATGCTTGTGTAACAGAACAGGAGTGTGTTACCTGCTCCTCTGGATCATTCTCTGAGGAACTGGTCCCTGTATTCTCTCCATCATAGCAAGATGCTCCTTATTATCATGAGTCTAAAAGTGAAGATCACGTCAACAAGATCAAAACCATGAGACATACACCATGCTGTAATTTCACCAATAAACACACATATGTGACCTGAAACAGCGTGAAACCTTGGTAGTATTCGAACAGGATGCAGCCGATGCTCCACACATCACACGGGTGACTCCAACCCAACTCTGCGCCAGAGAGGAGAGACAAAACCTTCAACATGAATAAACAGCACTGACAGTGACACTGACTCCTTGGTTTAAATCAACATCTCTTACCCAGTATGACCTCTGGAGCTCGGTAGTGACGTGTAGAGATGACGGTGGAGTGGTGTTCGTGGTCAAAGGTGGCGCTGCCAAAGTCAACAAGCCGAACTGTGGTGTCATTTATTCTCCGCTCACTGCACTTCTGAGGGAAGACAGAGAGTGAACAGGCCAGCAGTTCAGCCAGATGTGTTGCACTGGACTTATACGTAAAAGTGAAAGTCAGCACACAGAACTGTGAACACACACCTGGAGGCGTATCTTCGTACCCAAGGTTGTGCTGTAACATCCTCTAAATATGGCTCATTAAGGAGACCTTTCAAAGGGTGTCATGCTCTCAGCAATGTTTTTCCCTTAGGTCAAAAAAGATGCATTTATCTTAAGTGTCACAACCCCTGCAAAATGACTCATCCCACTATCAAGATTTGATCCATTAAGGTCAATAACATTTTGAAAGTATAAAGGAGCCACAAGATTAAATTATTTTATACCTATTCAAGTTAGCAGAGCGCTAAACATCTACGGAATTTCATACACCAGAAATTAAGCACCACTGAGCAACTTTCATAGGAATGAGCACCTCCAATGCTGTATCCAGGTCTCTTAATACATTCATGGTCCACTCTCCATGTGGAAATAAACGACTCATTCTAAGCTAATAAAAATATGATGATTCTTATTTTCAGGTGATTATACACTAATAGTGAATAGTTCCTACATAAACTGATCACAGCAAGATATTTATAATGAGTTATATTATATTCCATTTCTGTCAATAGACCCCCCCAGTCTCAGAGCCCATCAGCTATCGGTCTAACTATGATAAGCTTCTGCGGGCAAGGGCTAATATTTTGGGCCTGTAGCCAGCAGATATCCGAGCTAAGACTTCCTCTTCAGTGTGCCGGTCATTTTGGCGAATCTCTTTCTCTGCATATAAATGCACATTAAATGAATAATTAATAAAAAGCTTATATAAAGTCAAATTGTAGTCAGATAGCCAGTGAGTTCTGAGGTGGCATTTTGGCTATTGCGTTGCTCCTCTCTACACGGACTGTTTACCTACCTTGACCTATATTTCATATCTAAGACTGTTGTGTATATTTATCTATATTAATGGTTGTTAATAAGTTTGGGATAGTTGTTGACAATTTCCTTTTTCCAATGAGACATGAATATTGAGAGGGGGGTATGATTATATAAGTGTACACTTCTTCCTACTCCTTTTAAACATGTCTGTTGATGTTTTGTTCGTTTATGTTTTTATTTTTTATTTTGCTCAAAATAAAGTCATTCGTTCATTTATTCACATACATTTGCACTTCCTATACATCAACATACCTACTGGCTATGAATGACGACAGTAATGTTAATTATTGTACGAGTCCCTGTACGCAGTCTTTTCTAGTAAGATAATCATCTTATTCCAACAACGGGGAAGTTTGCAGTGTTACAGCAGCAAAGGGGATAGTGTAGCAACAAGAGGCATCAGCAAGATGTTATGGATATGTAAACAGTAAAATAAAAACCTCTGCTGCCTTTTTTCTCACTTTCCTTGTTCACTTTTCATGTGTATACTCCGTCACAAGTAAATACAGCAGTGATTGAATTCAAAGGCCTGAGACACATTGTTGAAACCAGGCAAATAATCATCCATGGTATTGAAAATCTTTTAGACACTAAATTTTCTATAAACTACTCCACTATTCCTTTTGTACAGCACTTCAGTCAACGTGAGTTGGTTTTAAATGTGTTTTATAAATAATTGAAGTTGAGCTGAGTTGAGCTGAGTTGAGGTTATTATATTCTCTCCAAATCTAACACACGTTTCAAATTTTGTTTTCCTGCAACAAGTGGCATCCCGTGATATCTCGTGATTTTTCAGAAATAAACTTCCGCTTAACAAGGCAGTAACAAACAAACCAATTAAAGTGAAATGTAAAGGGACACTTTAGACACTTATAATAACAATCTGAGCTACTCTGTGTCATAACTAACTACTTTTAATGGACAAGCAATGACGATGTTCAGTTGCCCCATTTGCTTCCATTACAGCCTGTTGCTCTGCTGCCTGCTCACTCAATACTGGACCAATGTCAAAAACTGTTGTTCACATCAGTGTCTTTGACCAATTTACACGAGGAAATAGGGTCCAGGTTGAAAAATGCTTAATTTATCCTTTAAGATACCGCTAAATCCTACACACTGCACCTTTACATACAACAGGTCAAAGTTTAAACAGTACTGTAAATCTAAGTGTTTGTTTAAAAAAAAAAAACACAACCTGGAGAAATACATGTATCTGTAAAGGGAACTCATGTGGGTTGTTCACAGGTTGTGCGGAGCAAAATTTGCATCCAAATAGGCAAACACAAAGCAAATCTCCCACTGCCTGCATTAATCCCCGCTTATTTTACATGCTGGTTTTCTTTCCCAGCCATCATGCCTGCAGTTGTTTACCTTCTCAGCGTTGTATATGAGGGAATAGTCTGAATTGACAAAGAGGATGTTCTCGGGCTTCAGGTCGGTGTGAGTCAGCTTGTTGTCATGGAGAACTGCAGTGGAGACAGAGGGAGGAGGGAAAGTAGATTTATCAGGAGAGAGCCAATGCCCTTGTCTGGTCGAGTTGTCTGTTGGTTAAACAGTCAGACATCATGATGGATTTGTGCGGGAAATAAAAGCAAAATATTCTATTTATCAGACATCCTGAAACATTTCCATCTTCAGGTAACAGTCGCCCTTTAAATATCTACCTGACTTGTTCGCTGCTGCATCACAGGGGCAGCTGTTAATAATCTGCTTACTGTCATCATCACTGACATTGATCCAGACTTACAGGAGACAAAGCGGTACAGTTATTGTGGTGCATGTTGGACTCACAGCTGACAGCGTGGCAGATCTGGTGAGCCATGTGTCGGATCTGGTTAATGGGATAAGGCAGGAAGCTGTTTGCTTTCAAGAAGTCAAAGGTGCTGAGAGACAGCAGCTCAAAAGAGATGCACACGTGGCCGTAGTAGTTAAACCAATCCAGCATCTGCACGCAGTGACTGACGGGGAAAGAAACACAGAGATGAAATGTAACAGACAGAAATAGAGTCAAAATCACAAACTACTCACTGTCTTTTGGCAGGATCTCTCTCGCTGATCTTCTTCAGTACGTTGATTTCCAGTTTGGCTGCTTCTCTGTATTTCTCCAAGTTCTTAATGATCTTCAGAGCGATCTGACCTCCTCCTCTGTGTGTTAGAAAACTGTGTTTAAAAGCTGTAAACACATGCTGCATATCAGTCCAACTTTAATTTTATGATGAAGTAAATTACCTGCTGTGGTCCAAACATTGCACCACCTTCCCAAAAGTCCCCTCACCTAATGTGTCGACTATCTCATCTGTGAGACAGATTGAGGTGAAATTAAAGTTGGAGCATTTTTGACGCCGGCTGCCAACTCACCTAACTGATACCTACATCTGTCTTCGAGGACGTCCCCACTTTTGTAGATCAGGTGGCCATTCTCAGTGTCCCTCTCATTGTCGGCTGCAACCTTGGGGCTGCTCCGCTGGAAACAAAGTCAAATTTATGACAGGTGGTGCAAATAAAGAAAAACCTGCGTCTGTGTCTTCACTGTCCAACAAAAGACGAAGACAGAAGGAGTGACATCTGACCTCTTGGTTTGAAAGGGTAGAGGTCATCTGGGAGCTAAAACTGATGCCTTCAACTTACATACAGACAAGCATCTGCATTAAGGGGTCTTAATTTCATGTTGTTTTTTTTTTAAAGGGACAGTTCACTCAAAAACCAAAATACATATTGTTCCTCTTACCTGTAGTGCTATTTATCAGTCTAGATTGTTTTGGTGTGAATTGTCAATCATTGGAGATACCAACCGTAGAGATGTCTGCCTTCTCTCGAAAATAACAAAACTCGAAGCGCCAAAAACATACATTTGAAAATCTGAACAGCAATGTCTCTTTCCAGAAATCATGACCTGGCTACTCAAGATAATCCACAGACTTTGTTGTGAACAGTTTCACGTAGGAACTAATTTTTTTCTACCAAACTACACCCGAAAACTGTATCACTGCTCAGAAGGAAGAATGCATTTACTGCTAGCTCACCTAGCACCACTGAGCTCAGCTGAGAAGGACGCCATGTTTACGTCTCCTGCTGTCATATGCACAAGCCTCTTGTCCATGAGTAGATGCACACTTAGTAAATAGAAAATAGTCCTGACATGAAACTGCTCTTTGGATTAGCTTCAGTAACTGGGTCATGATTTCTGGAAAGAGACACTGCTGTCAACACATTCTCACTTCAACCTTGTCACATATTGATGTTTGGTCATGACGTCCACATACGACGTGAAGGTACCCTGGGTGCGTTGGTTGTTGATGTGCTGGGATACCGTGTGAAGTTCTGCATGTTACATGCATTGTCTTCTTTCAAAATACACTTCCATTTTCACAGGAAATGTAATGTTAACGACGCACAGTCTCTTTCAAAATAAATGCACTACGTCAGTACAACATCGCAAATTGCCGGGTTTTTTTTCCTTTAACAACAAACACACGTGCTTGGGTTTATTAAAAAAGAACAGGGTTTGGCTGTAGAATCTTACAGGACGTGAACACCACTCTCTTGGGTGAAAGTCAATGTCTTTTGGACCCATCCACCACCCCTCTCACCCACTCCAGACGGACTTTCGCTGCATTGACTTTTGTCCTTGTTCCACCGTGTTTCCCAGTGACACTACTGGGCACCTTTTAACTATAACGGCAACTGGTCGCATATCATGCCGACGTTAAAGGACGCCTTTTTTCATTGGTTTCTGACACCGCAAGTCACTGCCAAGTCGCTGGATTTCAACGACTTCGGAGTGAGACCGGGCTCCTGAAGTCTGATGAGCACATTCACACTCTCCAGAGGATGAACCCCAGTTTGGGTTTTAAATTCTGTAGCACCACCCCTAGGACATTTTTAAGCTTTGGCTTCACTAGCAGAGGCTTCTGAGAACAGCCACAACACTAACATGCTGTTAATTCTGTCCAACTCTTTTATACTGAGGGATGTAATATGTATCACAGCTCACAGGGGCTAATAGCAAGGCTTTAATGGGCAGATCGTACAGGATGCGAACACAGCTGTCTTGGGTGAAAGTTGAAAGTTTGTTGGACTACAGAGTGAAACTTGCTGTTCAGTTTATCAAATGTATATTTTTGTGCCATCTAGTTCCATTATATTGGAGAGAAGGCAGACATCTCTACAGCTGATATCTCCAACACTGCAACTCACACCAAAATAATCTAGACTGATAAATAGCACTACAGGTAAGAGGACAAAGATGTATTTTTGATTGGTTGGGTGGTTTGATGGGCGAACTGTCCCTTTAAAGCTGCAGACTCTAAATGCAACTGTGGTCAAATAAAACCCTCCAGAATGCCACCTCATGCATTAAACGTTGATCGTAACGACCTGAGTTTGTTCTAAATGAGGTTAATAAGAAATGTCAAATGACTTCTGGCCTCTTTGGAGGAGCTGAGGCTCTATTTCCATCCACATTCTGAGACTGTTATTAATATCAGAAGCCCAGCATGTGCTGAGGAGACGCTTACTGCAGGACACGGGCCACGAAATAGACCCTGCACATAAAGCCAGTGACACAGCATGTAAACACAGTCTAGAAGTGAACGCATTCACAGGAAATTGAGGTACTCACAGAGAGGCAGAGGCCAATACAGTCCAGGAAACCCTTAAACAGAGAGTACATCTCTGTCTTGCCCATTACGCCGAAGTGCAGAGCTACTCAGAGATGAGAAGAGCTTGAGTTGAAAGGAAGGGGGATGGAGAAGGGGTGTAGTAAGGTGAAGAAAAGAGGCAGGTGAAGCAAAAGCAGAGAAAGTAGTCGACCAGTAGTTGGGGAGAGAAAAAGTACAAAAGGACGGGACGATACAAAATAAAGCAAAGACAAACTAGAGGACATGGAGTTGTGACTGAGTAAAATATAGCCTGCGATGTTGTCAGCGGATACAGATTCAAAAATGAGACACACAGCTACCTACAAAGCAACCAGAGGAAAAAATAAAGAAGAAAAGTAAAAATCAAACACGAGTGAACAAGAAAGCTGAGGTGCAAGACAAAAACAGAAAGCGACAGACAGAAATGAGACAGAGACGGAGGACAGACAGAGAGGGTGAGAAAGAGAGAGCTGAGACAGACGCTAATAATAAACTTTGGTCACAGCCCCCTGAGAAAGTCTCCAGAGGAGAATCAAGATGTGTTCAGGGGGGGAGGAGAGATCCAGTTTCACTCAACTTACTTACTCTTCTCCTTGCACCTTCTTAACCCCCACAATATGTTTTGCCACACCTGTCGTGCTCCGCGTGCTGCACATACCTCTCAATATAAAGCGTGCGCTCTCTTCACAGAAATAACTGACAGAGCTCTTATTAAGCTTTTATTTTGTAGTTCATGTTCAAAGGGAGGCAAAGCTTGAACAGAGAGGTGCACTTTTGTTTTCGTGCTGAACATCATGAGGTAACGTTTTTAAAAATATGATAAAATATAACAATAAAAAAGTTAGGATACTCATTTTGGTCACAGTAGCAAAAGGAACCAATGATTTGATTTTTGAATCATATAAAACAGCAGTTTTAAAAACAAAACTAACTTCACGTCAACGAGACACACCAGGAAAAAAATCTCATGAAGTGATTTGAAGAACACATTTGAATTTTATGAATATTTTGTCTGAATGATGTTTAAATCTATTTTTTTCTCACTGAGAAACAAACAGGAAACCTCAGAAACAGAGAAATAAGTCTCTATCCGACTGAACAGTGACGTTTGTTCTGGAGGCTCGTTGGGACTCAAGTGACCGTGTCACAAAGTCTGATGCACCTCTTCGTAGTTGGGTCCAGGTGATATCCATATGTCCCCATAAGGCTCGTCCTGCTCCGCCCATATTTTCCTGGTTGACAAAGTCCCTGCAGAAAAGACACAAATATCAAAAATAATCGCAGTAATGAATGCTAGCATTGTACATTTTTGCAAACCCCAGATACGATAAATATGTGCATTATTATGTAGCGGATACGTTAAAACGTTACGTTTCTTTACACTTCAACAACACTGTGGTAAACGTGGTCAGACTTAGCCACAAAAACTATTTTGTTATAGTGAGAGGAAGATAATGTTTGGGCTTAAAAAACACGCTTTTAGTGGCACAATCATGGCTGAAGAAGCCGGTAAAAAAAACAACCGCTGACTGTGGCACTATCCCAGCAGGAAACGCAGTGATGTCTCAGAAAGAAACAACCACTCTGCAAGGCACTATCTTGGCCGGAAAAACTTGCAATGTGTAGCTAAAAAACACCCAGCGGATACACTGAAACCTAATTTGCGGTCAGATTTAGTCACAAAAGTCACTTCATTATGATGAGAAGAAAATCATGTTTGGGATTAAAAAACCCAGTTTTGGTGGCACAATCAGCTCAAGAAGCTGTCAATGTCTCAGTGAAAACAACTGTTTTTCGTAGCACTATCTTAGCAGGGAAGGCAGCAAAATCTTGGTAAATACCTACACAGCAATGTCATGGTACATAACAACAGCTCTTTGTAGCACAATTTTGGCAGGAAATGCAGCGATGTCTCAGAAAGAAACACAACCACTTTTCGAGGCACTATCTTGGCCAGAAACGCAGCAATGTCTTGGTAAAAAACAACAGCTCTTTGTGACACCATCCCCACTGGAAAAAACGCAATGTGTAGCAAAAACAACCCACTGGAACTTTATGTTTCTCTCCACTTCAACAATGCTGTGGTTAACATGCGGTCAAGATTTAGCCACAAAAACCAATTTGTTATGGTGAGAAGCAGATCATGTTTGGGCTCAAGAAAACCTGGTTTTGGTGGCACAATCATGGCTCAAGAAGCCATCAATGTCTCAGGAAAAGACAAATGTTTTTCGTGGCACTATCCCGGCAGGAAATGCAGTGATGTCTCGGTAAACTACAACCGCTTTTTGTGGCACTATCTTGTCAGGGAACGCAGCGATGTCTTGGTAAAAAACAACTGCTCTTTGTGGCACCATCCCACTGGAAAAACACAAACATGTTGCAAAAAAACACCCACATTTGGTGGCCAAGAAGTGACTGGAAACACAGCAATGACTCACTAAAAAACAACCGGTTTTGTTGTTTGTTGGTCTCAAACAGTGGTCTGCAGCTTGGCAGGCGTGTCACCCATGTGTCACCCCTCCACCTCCCAGTAACAAAGTCAGCTCATATATGTGTTGATATGGTATATGAAACATACAAATGTAGCGTGTATGTAGTTTAAAAAATATATATATGGTGCATAGATTTTCTTTTGGTGACAGGGCTGCAAACACTGAGTTTAAAACATCTACTTATTGAAAAATGAAACACTAAATTTTCAGTGTGATAATGATGATGAGCTGAACACAAAAGTCAGGATAAGAGCAAATTAAAAAGCATAAAGCTTTTTACTAGGGTTAAATATGTTTGAGTTATCTGTATTCTAAATCAAATTATTTCACTATGAAGTATTGTAAACGAGCACTTGGTGTGTTAATGGTCCCTCAGCTCACACCACCTCATTATTAAAGCTTCCACTGGTGACTCCACTCAGTATTTTCAAAGAACTGGCTCAGGCTTATGGATTACAGAGCTTCTTCCCGTGTTGATGCTGTAACATTAACAACATTTCAACATGAGTAATGCCTCACCCAGGAGCCTCTGAAAAATGTTGCTGACAGTTCGGCGGTCGACCTCTGGTGGCAGAAGAGACAGAAACAGCACAGGTGCCTCTTCATGCTCGAGAAAATCCAGCAGCAGCCTAAACACACACGACAACACGAGCACATAATCGTATTCTTATCTCCAAACACAAAGACCGGGAAAAATAAACTGCTGGTTAGGATTTGGTGTTGCGTTCACTGTCATCACCCAGGAGACTCTGCTGGAGATCGCTCTGGCAACTCGTCCACCACCTCTGGGATGTCCTGCAGTACAGACACAGACCTGGAGACAGTGGACCTGCCAACACACACATGTGCACATAAGCATGGCTGCACACACACACACACACACACACACACTTCACATATCTTTCTGTGCCACCTACCCTTCTTTCTCAGATGGTTGGAGGGGGGAGATGATCTCTCGAGACGGCTCTCTTTGGTCAGAGCCCTCCAGTGGCAGTGAGCCATGATCTGAACACACACACATTTTGGGACATCATGCAGGCTAATATTGGTTCCCTGGAGGCTTGCCCTAACCCTTAACCATAACTGATACATGCCTAACCCTGACCTCTTACCTCAGCTTAACCCCAGGGGAAGACAGAAATCACTTTAGCTCGTGCTGAAAGCAGCGGAGACACATTCCACCCCCCAGTTAAACACAAAGTAGCTGTCACCAGTCAGCTGGTCTAAATCCAGTCTCATGTTTTTAACACAAGCTTTACCTGAAATCTCAAACATCAGTTCTGCCTCATCTCTGGGGGCCTGCAGTCGCACACAGACACACACAATCAGTTATTCATCTTGTGACATTTCCCACAGTCTCCCCACACAAGAAAGCCTCACAGTCATCCACCCCAAAGTCCCACAAACAAACAAACGTCCTCCCACACCTCCCTGGGGAGCTCTAGACTGTCCCCCTCTCTTGCCGCTGCCTCAGCCGCCTCGGCCACCTCAGCCGCCTCGACCATCTCGCGCTCTCTTTCCTTTTCAGAGTCGGTGGACTCGGGCCCTCTCTCCCCAACCTGCAGGTCCGAGCCCGAGACAGGCGTGATGGTCGCAGCCCGTCCCCATAGAAACAGCACCTCCTCAGGCAAGACTGCAGGGTCAAAAATAGCCTTGTGGATTATTTTTGAAAAGGTTACTCAAGTCACGTCTTTCAAAATAGCAGTGAGTGCAGATGAATGTGAGAAGTCTGAGGGAAAAAATGAAACACTTCAGAGACGTCGCCATACACAGCCTGTCTTCATTCACATTCACAGATTGCTGGATTGTTTTATGGTGTGAATAAAAATGTTTGACGTTTAACGAGTCTCTTTTATTGGAAACATGGTTGTAAGGAGCATCAGCGTAAAATGAGATTTATATTTGAGGGTGCATTGCCGTATGCTTTTCATCACAGGTGTGTTACTGACAGGTGCACGGGTTGTTGAAGAGTTCAGCGGCAGTAGGCATCCTGTGAGAGGAAGGGGGCGGGAGAACTACAGGTCTGGTCTCAGCCAGGGGGTCGTCGATCTGCTGCTGCAGCACCTTCTGAGAGATCTGTGTCTCCGGGTCAAAGAAGATCAGCTGCCTCTTCCTCCTCCTCCTCCTCCTCCTGGTCTCCACCTCTGGAGCAGGCACATCCTGGGTATGGAAGAGAAGTGGGAAGTCAATTTACCCGAACTGTCCTCCAGCTGTCAGATGTAGTTTGGGTCGCTCTTTATCATAAGAACAACTTTTTGTTTGCTAGGTTGTGATTAAATTTTCTTTTTACGCAACTCTTTCTTTCATCAGGAAAAACTCTCCAAGAGACCTTTTAACCACTGGACCAAAATCTATTTTACAAGAATCTATTAACAGTAGTGGAAAGTAACAAAGTAGATTGACTCAAGTTTTGTGCTTTAGATCAAAATCGGTGCATCCCTATGTAATCTGGAAGTTAATTTGTACATTCTATTATTATTTTACAATGTTTACATTATTTTATTGTTTACTCTTCTGAACAGGATAATTTGTAATTTTTGATGTGCTTTACTTGAGGATTTCCATTTTCTACTAGTTTGTACTTCTGCTCCACAGTTCTAGCTCCACAATTATCAGCTGCAACATCACAGTGACGAACACACAAATGCATCTTTTATTACAATGCAGTAATATTTATTATTATTTTATTTATTATTATTTATTATTATTATATTTTTTCTACCAACCTACACTTGGAAACTGTTATCCGCATGCAGAAGGAGGCCTGCATCTACTAATGGAAGAGAGGCTCATGCTCATTAATGGCGTCCTCCTCAGCTGAGCTGTAACGTTAGCTAGCTCAGTGGTGCTACCTGAGCTAGCAATAGATGCATGCTTCCTTCTGCACTGTGTTACAGTTGGTGGGTGTAGTTTGGTGATAAGAAAATAGTTCCTACATGAAACTGCTCACAACAAGGTCTGTGGA